TGGCCGAACCTGCGCCTTCTAAAGTTGCAGGCGGTGTGCCGGCATGAAATACTGTCCCGCTCTGCTGAGCACGCCAAGCATTTGAGAGGCCAATTTGGTCTTCTCTTCCAAGTGACCACGAAACTGCACGTCACTCGATATGTCGACGCCGAGGATACCGATACTGGCTGAAGCAACAAAGGGAGTGCTTTGAAACTGGGGAGATACGACAGAGGGGTTCTTTTTTGCGGTAACGCGCAAACTAGTGTCTTCTGGGGGTTAAACTGAACTAGATTTAGTCGCCCCCAATCCGAGACTCAAGACACAAGTTTGTCCCGGTACTCGGAGACGTTTTCCCGAGAAATATTGGGACGGCCGGTGTACAGAGCGTCACCAGTGCTGTCATCTGCATAGCAATGAAATATCTGCATAGCATGAATGAAATTACCGGTTTGCAACATATCATTGATATGCAGAAGAAACAGCGTTGTCGATAGCACGCAGCCTTGTAGAACACCAGCATTAATAGCCTTGTATTCGGAGCTTGCACCATCTACAACGACCTTGATGCTCCGATCTGCAAGAAAGCTGGTGATCCAATTGCACAATTTCTCGGAAGCACGCGTCCTCAGCACAATTGGGGGGATTCCCTCATGCCCACTCGACTTATGGATGTCCAGGGAGAGGAGTGTTTTGAAAATCGAGTGCTGTGTAAAGTGCACTTTTGGCATGGAGCACTCACACCGCGGGATAGTCGGCGGCGTACTCCCCCCGTCATAGAGATTTGAGTTGGCTGCAAAGAAAAAGCCTAGCAGATTGGCTTTCTCCTTTACGGTATCCAGTGAGCCGTCCTCCCTCTGCAGAGATTGAAGAGATGGTTGACAGAAATTCCCCTGGACAGCCTTGGCGAGAGACCAAAATGCACTGGTTCAGAAGGAAGGCGAACTAGTTTCTTGCCAATTCTGCCTAAGTGCTCTGACTTTACCTTGGCAATGACTCTTTTGAAGCACCTGGAGGCAGAATTATACTTCTTTTTTAGAGCGCTGGTGTTTACATCTCGGGACGTTGATGCGCAAGCTCAAGCTTGGTAACACTCATGCCTACATCATGATGCTATTTTACAGGAGCGACCAAAGCATGGCTGAGATTTGCCACCGATTTCCTATAAAAAGTTCCATACCCTGAAGTACCACATCAGCGACAGAATCCGCAACAATGTTGGGATCGTCTGGCGAGAAGCAAACCTACCCCCAAGGGTAGGATGCAAAGAAAGACCGCATCCTATCCCAATCGGCTGGCTTATAGTGTCAAACACGGCAGCAGCCTGCAGAATGTAACTTCGATTTCAGCGTGAGTGGCACCACACTCCGGACAAGACAATGGTCCGAGGAGTCTAAAGGGGCGTCAACGAAAATCTGATATCCGTCCGGGTGAGAGGTCAGCAGAAGGTCCAACAGGGAAGGTGCATGATTCTCCACGTCTGTAATACGCGTAGGCAAAGTAATCAATTGTGTCAGAACATATGCCAACGGAAATAAATAGATCTCTAGGCATCAGGATCGGTTAAACGTGAATCAAGTCATTTGGCGTGATGAGCGTTAAAGTCGCCTAGGATCACGATCTCTGTGGAGGAGATCTGCTGTAGTAACGAATCTCTAGCCATTTGAACGTGGTCGAAGAGTCGGTCTGTTTCGGCATTACCGCTATGGGACTTATAGAGGCACCCGTAGACGCGTGGATGGTCGTCGCTGTCTACGCGTAGAAAGGATGGACAGGTCCGAACCTTCAAGACTGCCGAGGCGTCAAGAACAGATGTCCTCTCTGACGTAAATGCAAACTCCAGCCCGAGGCATAAAGGAGTGTTCCAGTTTGTACCCCGGGTAGGAGAGATACAAGACATCAGCCGGAGAGGACACTTGCGTCTCGGTTAGAAAGAGCAGAGCCGGCCTCGCCGTCTCGAGATGATAGTGGATGAAGTAGATGATGTAGATGGTAGGTTGGCATGAATTCCAAGTTTTGAAGAACATATGACGAAAAGATGTGTAGTAATCTCGTTAAATTTAAGAAGATTATAGATAAATAGTTATTCCAATCCACGCAAAAAGCTAGGCTTCCTTCTTTTGCTAACTACGAAGTCTCTTTGTCTTTGAGTAAATTTTAATAGCTAATGATGGCGATGATTTTTATATAGTAGTTGAGAAATGGGAAAAACAGATCACGTTATTACCTGTCTAAAGGAAAGTGTAAAAAGATTCATATAAAATTACCACTTCTAAATATTAAGGTAAAATAATTGATTGAATCAGTTAGTGCACGTAATTGAGGCAGGGCGGGAAGTGTTCTTCAATCCAGGTAAGACACATCATTGTATTTAGTTAGCGGAAGGTTGCACATTAATTAATATTTTTAATATTAAGATAAAACTCCTCATACTATAGCCTATCAAATTCCACTGCTGAACTCGCTATAAATTGTTCATAAGTAATATATTCGTCTTAGCTGCCAGGTTTGGGTTTGTCAACCAAAGATTATTTTTATAGTTGTTAATAAGAAAACGCTGCAGCCTCCTACGACAACCATAGCAGCAGTGGGTAGCAGAAAGTTTTAGATCCTACATCATGGTCATCATCATTACAGCCCTTCACAAGTCCACTGCTGAACATAGGCCTCCTCCAAGGTATGCCACAAAGTACGGTCCTGAGCCACCTGCATACATCGACTTCCTGTATGTCTTACCAGGTCGTCACTCCATCTAGTGGGGGTCGCCCTACACTTCGCCTACCGGTACGAGGCTGCCACTCGAGAACTTTTTTTCCCCAACGGTTGTCGGTTCTTCGAAGTTCTTCTTCTAAGTTGTACAACCAGTGCGTGTTGCCAGTGATGACCTACGGAACCGAGACGTGGTCCTTCACTGCTGGCCGTATGAGGACGCTCAAAGTTGCTCAGCGAGCTATGGAGAGGGCTATGCTCGGAGTTTTCCTGCGTGATAAACTTAGAAATGAGGATATCAGCAGTAGAACCAGAGTTACCAACATAGCCCAACGGATTAGTAAGCTGAAGTGACAATGGGCCGGCCATATAGATCCTACATGGTCAAGAAAAATTTCTCGTAGCCTGCTATTATTATAATTGCCCTCTTACATTATATAAACCATAAAAAATTAATTAGTAAACTGTATCTCGTCTGCACACATTGATAAGCAGGTCCTATTAACCCAGACAGTTTCCCAAGCAAGAATAAGTCTTATAATACCTCAAGAGTTATATTGGATGTTTTTTTACCCTCTATAAAAAAAATAGGGTGTACCAGGTGAACGGAATACAATGGTATAGTAGTATATATTGATAGATCAATATTAGGAAATTGATCTATCAATATATACTACTAATTGCGTACGTAATATTTTAAGTAGTATTACGTAATGTTTTAGGTACTTGATTTATTTATTTGGTTATTTTTTTTAATTAGTTGTATTTATTGATAGATCGATTTCATAATATGTCAAAGATAAAATTAAAAAAAATGTAAAATATCAGTGCTATAGGCTATCTATTCCATTCACCTGTTACGCCCTATTTTTTCCAGTTGGTAAAAAAATTACCCAGTAATTATTTAAGCTTGCTTGCTTAGTAGAAACACGAATGGGTCATTTTGCCTGAAGAAAGATCATCCATCCATCTTTTACAGCCTATAAAGTTTACTGACAAACATAGGCCTATCCCACAAATTGTCTCATAAGGGAATACTGCCATAGTTGCCACGCTTGGCAAGTGGATTGGTAACCGCAGATTTTATAATTTTGAGTTGTTATCACGAAGATACCTGTTTCAGTTTCCCACTGTCCCCTGTTGCTAGTGTAAAATAGCAACACAAACTGCTGTTTCCTATGGTGAATGGCAGAAACCACTGGTAGGCATTCTATAAAATGCGTTATCACTTCTGAGCGATATGGGGGAATGCTTCCAGTTTGTAATTTTACTGGCTCTATATATTCTTCATAACGTAACACAGTAGTGCTTGCTGCACTCACACGGAGTCCCGGACAGATAAGGAGTCCCAACACCTAGAAAATATCAAATATAATATAAAGATATTTATATTTCATTTGTATACGAACTAAAGAAGTTATTATTTCAGTTAATTAATAATTTTGTATTCCGTTACTTGATTATTTTGATAATATCTTTTTTCAACATAGACATATAGCAGCGTACAACACAATATCCCCGCGGGCGAGTTCAACCTTTATGGGCATTGCATAAAATGCATGAAAATCATAGCTACAACTACCTCAACCCAGGAGTGGCATCTATTTCATTGATTCATAATCAAAGACATTATATAGGTGTAAAGAGGATATATTTTGAATCGCTTTATAATAATGGTAAAAGTATAATTAGATATACAACTTACGGTTGCTGCGGCCAATAATAAATACGTATTTGTAAATGCCCTTTGATACACGGCGTTCTAGTTCGTTAATTTCGGAATTAAATTATGACCAGTAAATCTACAGGAATATTGACCTTATATGTGAAATACGCGTAATATATTATTGTCAAAGGTCATGTAGCTGATCCGTCTTTTGCCTGTGTATTTTAATTAATGAAATAACATTTTTTATTGCAAAAAAAAGCAAAAAGTGATTTACGTTACTAATGTTAGTAACGTAGATCACTTTTTGATTAATTATTATAATATCTATCAAAAAGATCCTTCTATATATATATATATAAATATTGTGTTTAACTGTAGTAAAAAGTTGTTTTTACGTGTTCAATCTTTGGTATTACAGAATAAAGATTATGAGTGCAGTGCGTGTGGTTGTTGAATATCGTTTATTTAAGAGAAAGACAATAAAAGGAAGTTATAATAAAAATATAAACTTAAGTATATACATATTTTTGTTAAGAGTTTGTGGCTCTTTTATTTTAGGGAGGGTCATAAATTTTCTTCTTCTTTATCAGCCTATAAAGATCTTTACTGAACTTGGGCAAGCCTCTCCCATAATAGGGATTATTTACAACCTTATAATTTCGTTTGAACTATTTTGTTGCAGTAACATAGCCCCTGTTTTCACATATACATTAGATAAAAGACGAAGTATTCACTTATTCATTAATGTATTACAGCTTACCAAAAGAATATGCAAGCAAGGTTGAAGAGTTGATAATCCTGGTTCGCGACTATTGCAGCTCATATAAACTTGTAACTAACTTCAAATATAAATGGAATCAACAGATGCAATGTCATATCCGAAGAATGAAATTCCTCACATCATGTTATTTATATTATACCCTTAAGACCGGAACACATCAGTGCACATACCGAATAGTGGTTGAAATAGGTTAGTGAGTTAAACCTACCTAGAGGGACTCATGGGCAGAAAACAAGCCCTACCTAGTCCTACAAGAAAAAGTCATTACAGGATACATAATTAGTACATTTATATATGTATTCAACGGAAATTAATGTTACTCGTTAGTCGTTGTCGCAAAATAATAACGAGGAATTTTTTTCTGTTATTTTCCTAAAAAATTCAATTATTAAAATATTCACGGCGGTCGACGTCTCATCAGGTGAACTGCATGCTCGTTTGCCTACTCTTCCGTAAAAATAAATAGTCAGTATTTATTATGCCGACGCATTATTCTTGCTTTTGAATTTCTGAAGATACTACTGATTTAAATTTATCGATGAGCGATTTTTGATTCAATACTCCTAATTATTGGGAAACCGACATTTTTTTTTTTTAATTTGTTTATTTACCAGAAAACACGTAGCCAAAATACAATAAGTTCTGTGACTCCCACACTAGGCATGGCCTGTCTCGTGGGGGGTCAAGCAAAAGATTTTACAATTGATCAAAGTGGCTATTTGTCGAAATTACGTAAAACAATTATGTGCAGCAAAGCAAAAATGACTTAAAAAATGTATGAAAAATTACAGACATAACAAACAGATTCTAATTAAAAGGGGCGCGCGTGTACTTGTGGGTGAATGTGTATGAATGTGTGTGTGTGTGTGTGTGTGTGTGTGTGTGTGTGTGTGTGTGTGTGTGTGTGTGTGTGTGTGTGTGTGTGTGTTATGTGTGTGTGTGTGTGTGTGTGTGTATGTGTGTGTGTGTGTGTGTGTGTGTGTGTGTGTGTGTGTGTGTGTGTGGTATGTGTGTGTGTGTGTGTGCTAGCATGCCTGTTACATAATTCTCTAAAAATTGTAAGTAAAAGGGTGAGAGATTGCAATTGGGGATAAGCTGAGTGGTTAGGTAGCCCTACGATTAAATTCTTGGGATCAGACGACAGGGCGTGCGTCAGTGCAGTCCACTACCGTTTTAACACCTATTTAAGGGTCACCAATATTTCTTCTGATTTCTCATAGTCCCAAGTCAATAAATGACCTCTCATTTTTATTTTAGCCTCATAAAGTTGGGATCGTTTTAAGTCGTATAAGTTGACTAATTTGTTGTGTTATGTTTGTGTGCGAAAGATGTTTTAACTAAGGTTGTGGGGATCTTAAACACTCTTTTATTTATTAATGTATTAAACGTCGGCAGTTTTGAAGCTTCCTTGTGCATATATGTAAAGGCCCTCAGAAGATACAATCTACGGACACTTAAAACTTGAGCTTCTCTAAAGAGATCTGACGTATGATAGCGCCTTGGTTTACCCATAGCTACCTTCAAAACTGCCCTCTGGGCCCTTTCCAGTACTATCAACGTAGAGGAGGATATACCACCCCACGCCAGTATACAATAGCTAAGTACGGACTGACATAGTGCAAGGTAGACGGACTTTAAAATGCTGCCATCAGTAGAATCTCTCAATAGTCTCATCGTGTGTATCAGCTTACGGACCCTGGCTGATGTCACCGATATATGACTTTTAAAGTTAAGATTTTCATCTATTATAATGCCTAAATATTTAAGGGAGCCGACCCTATTTATCTGGTCACAGTTACAATTTGGAGAGCTCACGGAGCGAAAACTACAGTTGTCGTTGTGTACTTTAAGGCTATTGAAAAGTGAGGGTGGCGGTTCAGACGCTGCAGTTTTATGAAAACAAATTAACTGCGTTTTTGAGGTGTTCAGTGTTAAGATGTTGTTATTTAACCATTTTTGTAATTTATACAACCCGGAGATGGCTGAAAAATAGGCGTCGTACAAAGATTTACCATAGAATATTATGGCTGTATCGTCAGCATAACATACAACCTCACTATTTTCAAGTTGAACTGACATAATATCATTAATGTACGAAATAAAAAGAGTCGGCCCCAAGATGATACCTTGAGGAACACCAAATCTACAGATCTGAGATCGCTTGCCTGATCGCCTATTTGGACGCATTGCTTTCTATCCGACAGATAGCTGGAAAACCAGTTTAGAGCTAGACCACGAATCCCAAGAGCACTTAATTTCTTAAGGAGGATGGGGATGGATACCGTGTCGAATGCTTTAGCCAGATCGAGAAAAACACCGACACAGGATCGACCCTGATCGAGATGAGTTACAACCATATCTGTGAGAAGAGTTACTGCGTCCTCAGTTGATTTTCCCTGGCGAAAACCGAACTGACGGTCCGAGAGTATGCTATTCTTTTCAAGATAGTTAGTCAGCCGCTTATGGACTACACGTTCCAGGAGCTTCGAGTAACTACCCAGGAGTGATATGGGTCGGTAATTACAAGGATCGTCCGTAGCTCCATTCTTGTATATGGGGGTAACTGCCGCAACTTTCCACTGGCTTGGGAAGACTTCCGATGAGATACTTAAGTTAAATATCGCAGCCAGGGGCTCCGCGATTGTGTGGGCCACTGATTTTAAAAGTTTGTTAGTGATGCCGTCCATACCAGGCGCACTACCTGAATCAAGCGACCGGATAAGACCCAAAACTTCCAGTTCATCTGTAGGATTCATGAAAAATGAACCAACGGGTTGATCAGGAATGTGTACTTTTTCGGCAAGGGACTCTTGAGTCTCATTTAATTTCAGCATGATAGAGTTTGCCAGCTTATTACCTACAGAAACAAAGTAGGAGTTGCAAACATTGAGAGACTCTTTTACGGAGGGTCTTGAGTTGATGAGAGCCAGGTTAGAACTTGAGCTAGTGTCTTTGCCAGTTATGCGGTTAATAGTACCCCAGAGTTTTTTTGGAGCATATTTATTTTTGATTATTTCTTTTTTGTTGTAATCACGTTTTAGTCTTCTAATTAGATCTATGTAAAAATTTCTATAGCGCGTATATATAAGTTTTTTAGTTGGGTTGTTTGGGTCCTTGCGATATTCTATATGAAGCTTATCGCGGTGTTTAGAGCATCTGATTAAACCAGGAGTCATCCAGGGGTGTAAGGTAGTTCTGGAGCGGCTTATTACACAAGTTTTTGAATATCTCAATATTGCCTCTGATACCGTCTTAGTAAAATGAGTTACAGACTCTTCAAGAAAGCTGCAGTTTATTACTGTTGACCAGTCCGTTCCTTCCAGCTCTGATCTTATTGAGTCTATGTCAACTATTACTCTTGATCGAATAGGTTTTGGTCTTTTTGGTTTGTGTGTCTTTAACATTATGCCTGCCATAGTGATATCATGGTCAGTGGCAGCATTGAGATAGACTACGGACTCCGCATTAGATTTTACGGGTACAAAAATGTGATCTATGCAGGTTTGGACCCGAGTTGGTTTGGTTATAGCTGGAAAAAGTCCGTACTCTGCTAACACATCTAAGTACTCCGTGTGCAAGTTTATGTCAGCTGCAGACCCAATAATATTTAAGTTTATGTCTCCAGCAAAAATAAGACAAGGAGAGGGACTAACCGTTTTTAAGTTAGCGTCAAGAGAGCGAATAAATATTTCTGGGTTGGTGTAACTAGGTGATCTGTAAGCGGCTACTACTGAGAAGTGATTTGCAACTTCTGCGAGAATACAATTACCCTCGTCAACGTTCAGCTCAGAAAAATTGGCTGACCACCTATCTCTTATGTAGATAGCGACTCCTCCTGCCCTGTTAATATACTTTTGAGAGTAAAATGATGTAAATCCTTGCAATAGGGGGACCGTCACAAACTCATTAAGCCAGCACTCGCTGAAGACAATAGCGTCGAAATCAAGATCCAACCTTTTTAGGGTTACGAGGAAATTATCAAAATTTTTACGCATGCTTCTTATGTTCATGCTTAAAATCCTAAATGAAAATCTAGACATAACGTCTTTACAATCCTCTGGGACCGTTATGTAGTGGCACTTTATCTGAGATGAGTTATCTATAGCATCTAACAATTCTAGGGAAGCCATGGGAAGATCATGAAAAATTGGTTGGAGTATTTTGGCATTAAAGGAGAGAGTGCCATATAAACATAAGAAGGGGTGTAGATAACCACGAAATATTTTGAGGAATGTACCATGGGGGAGAAGATGTGTAGGTGTGTTAAAATGTGTGTGTGATTGCGCTTACAATTGTGAAAAGTTAAATTCAAAGTTATAATAAGTATGATGAGTATATAAGAAAAATGGCGACCATATGGATTGCAAATTAGTGACAAAATATTAATGACTAGGCTCTTGAGGCTCGGGTAATGTTTACTGAGTGGTCGCCGTGTCTGGTTTGGTTTGGGCACAGAGCAGGCGGCTGAGATCATTTTCGGACCTAATACGGATTGCGGGGCTACCTTCCTTGACATCCCTTTTCCTAATAAATATGGATCCGTTTCGAAGCCAGCAAAACCTGTAGCCATGTTCGACGGTGAAAGCTCTCGCAGTACGAAATAACCGTCGATTTTCGCCAGTAAGACGCTCATTTACGTAGATCAAATTTTCAGGCCCATGATTCAAAATGTCTTTACTCTTTAGGTTTTTTCTAGCTTTCGCGTGTTTAAGGAATTCCTCACGTTTAGATCGACGGGTAAAAGCAACCACCAAGGAACGGTGAAGTTTACGGTTCCCACATACGACATAATTTGAACGTTTAAGTTTTGCTGGGTCTTTACGTTATTGAAAACGGTAGGCTCTTAATTAAGGGTCCGATCGATTAGGAATTTGGTGAAATTTGTCAAAAATCCTGTACAATTAATATTTTATCCGTTTAAATTTAATAGTACCCAACGATGCTGACTTTTGATGAATATTAGCTTTAAAATTATTAAATGTTAATATGTTTATTTTTAATCATCATAATAATATTCATTATCATTAATCCGCTGCTGAACATAGGCGTATCACAAAGCCCCAAAAGAATATCACGAAACACGGTCCTGAGTCACCTGCATCCATTTACTTACTGCATCTCATCAGGTCATTACTTCATACAGTGGCAGACCGCCGGCTCGCCTACCGGTACGAGTCTGCCACTCGAGATACTTAAGATATTAATGGTTTCTAATACCGATAGAAATTTTTTAAACGTAAACGTGACCTTTTCTTTTAAGATATTGTAAATATTAGCAGGATTTGGCCTGTGATACATTTAAAATAAAGAAATGAAATAGACTATATATACCCAAGGACTTCCTTATAATTAATTAAACGAAAAAAGTTGAATGTCTGAAGGAGTCATCAACATAATCACCATTACAATACAAGTCAACTGCCGATCATAGTCCTCCCCCATAGATTGCCAGAAAGTAAGGTCCATAGCCACTTTCCTAAGAAAAATAAAGATCGAATTTCAATTATTATATGTAATAATAAAGGTACAGTTTTAATTTAAATCTGCAAAGTATTACTGGTTTAAGTATTCTATCGCGTAAATAACTATACTAATGTGCCGATCTTGCTTCACTTTTTCAAAAATGATCAGAGTGAGCTGCATATTTGACATCAAAATTCCCGGACTGAAAACGCTTGAACCAACTTTAATCAACTCTATTATTGTGCATTAGGTCATCAAACGTCACAAATTTTTTGCGGCTTGAGTCCATTTTTTCCTTTTTTGTAATTAAAAATTCAGAATGTATCGAATCTTTTCGCTCGATTCACTCATTTTGGCGGACAGGAAAACGATTAGAAAATGGCGTGAAAGTGTTTTTTAATTTTTATTAATGTCTTGTATATATTGATGTGATATTTGCGTATCTGACGAATCGAAGGTAGACTATAAAATATACGGGGCAACTGCAACTCATACAGAACTGAAAACTAACAATTTGTGGTTTTATTTCTCTGATGAGGATTCAAACTAGGACTCGTGATGCCATGGCCAGATATTTATAATAATAAGCTACGCGGTTTGTGCTGTAATACTTAAAGTATGACAATATAGTCATTAACGTCCTCGTTTCGTTTCTTTTATAATGAGAGATTATAAAAATTTTAATAAACAATTGAAAGTTTGTTGGTAACTGCGTATGATAATCCATCACACATTTTGCCGATGTCGTTCGTAATACGGAATTTTGAGAAATGCGGTAAATATCCATCCAAAAGTTGGCAGTATTAATATCTTAAGCATACCAGATTTAATATACTCAGACCGGAAACAGGAAGCACCATCAATAGCGCGACATATCTAATATTCCGGTTATCAGCCCGCTTGTCAAGCGAAGCACATCTATAATGATAGAGATGAAGAAATTATAAACAGACATGGCTAAATACTCTCTGGCAATCTGGCTGCCGAAAAGGGTGATCGTTTTTAAAGATTTTTTGGCTTCGTCCTTCACCGGTTGAGTCGACCCATTAGTGCTACAAAAATACACTACTAATATAGCTGTAGTATGGTTCTAACACCATAAAAGTCGATGTACCTGATTAGTGCACGCGTGTTTGATCTTAAGCCGAAATGCTCATCTGGAGGAACTTTTCTAACGAAGACTTGTTTGCGAAGGCGATTCAATATGAAAATACTAATGGATCTTTAGCTGGAGGCTAACTTGCGGGGTTTCCCTGGTTTCGGGATTACTATAGCGTCTGCTTCATTCCAAGCATCCGGGAAGGAGCAGCTCGAGAGAATAGCGGTGAAAATGCCTAGATGCTAGCAGGTAGACAATTGGCGATGAGAGTGAGTTAAGCACCTTTTTGCTCATGTTTTTTAAGATTTTTGATTACTTCTGTGACTTCGTCGACTATCTAAGAATGTTCACTGTGAATCAATGAGCTGTAATAATAAAGATAATGATGTTGATGATAACACAACAACTTAATAACTCAGCACAGGCAATATTAAAATTGTCGGTAATAGAACAAAACAAAAGTCTTTTATCTTAATGAGGTACTTAATATTAACTGGCTAATAATTACAGCCTGTCGGTCTTTCCATCGCAAATCACAGTCTTTAGTAGTCACTTACTATCAGGAGGATTACAAATTCGAACAGCCTAGTAAAACAAAAAAAATTATGACCAATAATATGGGTAATTTTTTCCAAACATGTATTTAAACCTTACCTTCTGATTTGAATTCAAAACCGGACGGATACGGACGGAACGGATAGGAAACCAATAAGGGATAGAAAAACCGAACAGAACTTGTCATTTCTAAGTGTTTGTTGCTTTTTGGTGCATTTCAATTAAGCGAGTGAAATATTTACATATTTACGTCTTAAGTACAAAGTACTGGTTCACATACAATAATATGTACATACATACAATATGTATACTCACACATGTAATAGTAAATAATATGAGTTTTTTTTAAATAAAATGACTATTTGTTATACACAATAACCAAAACAAAAATAACTATCAAACTCAAAGTAAAATATTTTAATTTCAAATTGGCTTTTAAAAAGCCCTTTTATGAAATTCAAATAAAACTATTTATTCGAAATATTATTCCAATTAAGTTATTCAGATCAAAATTGCCAGAATTTTTTTATAGAATAGGGTGACAAACAATCTTACAGTCCACCTGGTGGTAAGTGGTAGCTGTAGCCCATAGACATCTACATCTTCTGTTCTTGATTAAGAATCAAAATGCAGATGCGTTGTCACCCGTGAGGTCTAAGATGGAATGCCTCATTTCCAGTAAAAAGGTTTTCCAGTTTCCAGCAAACACAGCAGCATTAAACTACTATTTTACGCTGGTATTCTGGGAAAGCGTGGACCTTCCCCGGTCGAGCCGATCCATTCGTGCTACAACTATACTACTAATATAACTGCAGCATGGCTCTATCACGTATAAAACATAACAGGTCACAGAATTGGGGCCGTACTAACGAGTACAATTTTAAAATTAATGTTAAAATATGGTTACATTTCTTGCCCAGTTTTTAATTTCACAGAGTAAAACCGGTTTTGTATATTTTAAATTATTGGAATTTTTCATTTCATCGGAAAAGAGCATTACGAAAAGCTTTTGTCAAAAAGGTTAATATGGCATTACAAAAGCCGTTATTGGTTTTATTTAAATTACGACGATTTTTTAAAAAGAGAAAACTACTGTTATAAAGCTTTACCAAGACATTGTTAGAGCACAGGTTAGGTAATGGGTTTTTCTTTGCAGATTACCTCACCAATTAGCGTCATTATAGCCTATTAATTAGTTATGTCGCTTTAGCAGAGATGAAAAAACGAAGGATTTCATGACTTTAAAATCCTTTAATTCAAGAAATATAACTTCAAAAGGATTAGTGTCCGTTAATTAAGTAACTAGCTGTTACCCGCGGCTTCTTCCGCATGGTCACTGGGAAATGAACTATCCGTTGCTTTTTGAATTGAAAGAAAACTGAGTTTTATAGATTTGTCAAAGATGCAGCCATTAAAAGGAAACTGAGCAAAATTGATTCGTCAGCCTATTTAAATGTTTTGAAACGCAGCGTATAGGAAATCATGAAAATAGCCTGTTTATTCTAAATGGAAATGAGATATTTTTTTTAATTAAAGGAAACTGAGCATAATTATCCGTCAGGGATTCAGACTTTTGAAAAGACACTGAGCTAAATTGATTCGTCAGAGATGCAGTTTTCTGAATTGAAAGTCAGAGATGCAGCCTTTTGAGCTGAAAGGCAACTGAGCTTAATAGGTCCGTTAGAGGTGCAGCATTTGTAATTTAAAAGAAACTGATCTAAATAGGAAATTTTGAATTGAAAGGGAAGATCTGCGGGAATTCTGGTTAATTGATTGTGGGAATTTTGGAAAAAAAAAATTGAACACTATTTTAAGACGCTACTGTACACAATGTAATATGTTTTTCCATTCGGGGAAAGAATGTGGAGATTCTGGGCATTTGACACATGCGAA